GCCGGCAGGGATACATGATGTTTATTTGTTTGTTTTAATTCAAGCGAAAGCCTAACAACAAACATGCCCCACATAAAACTGAGAAGCGCACCAACAGCAACAAATAAACGCCGTTGCTGTTATTGTTGCTGCTGCTGCTGCTGCTGCTGCTGCTGCTACTGTCGGCGTCAAAGTCAGCGTCACGAAAGATTGTATGTATGTAGCTGTAAAGGCTGTGAATGCAGCTGACGTGGGCAGCGACAATATCAATTGCATATCGCTTTGACACCAGGTGGCAACGCCGCCAGCTGTCATCGCAGGATAACACAGTTCGAGGAGCGATTTTTGTTGCTCAATTTTGTTGTTGTTTCTTTTGGTTCTTCTCTTCGCTGATTGTTGGCGGCCGCTCGTAAGCTAGAACAGGCACAAGTCAACGTGACCAGCTACAACAACAGCTGCCCCCCCTACCGCCGCTCCCAACACAAGAGACCAAGCAATAGTAAATGGTAAGTTATTTTCTATGCGTGCGTATGCAAATGTGTGTGTGTGTACATGTGTGCGTGTCGTATGAATTACAACGACAGCGAGAGAGAGAGAGTGCGAGAGAGAGAGAGAGATGGTGCTAGGGAATGAAAGTGCACGGCTAGCAAATTGGTGTGGGTGTGTGTAGAAAATGCATTAAGCACGTCTTCCTCTTCCATTTTGTACTTCTACTTCTGTTTTACTTGTTTTATTTGCATTGCATTGACTAAAACAACAACAACAACAACAACAACAAAATGATAAGCAAAGATGTGAATTGTGATAATGAAGCAGAAAGAAAACTTGTTCGAAAAGTTGTAATGCAATGGAGGATTAGCGAGGGGAATGGTATAGATGGTGACGACGACGACGGGCGGGCTGAGGTGTCAGGGGGGGGGGGGGGGGCTTGTGGGCGAGCGGATATCCGGCCGGCGAGCAGGGCCAACTTGATTGGGCCAGTGTATCCAATAATTGAAGCCAGCCAACAAACAGATACATTCACTCTCTTCATACATATATGTGTATATCTCTCTTGAGAGAGAGAGGGGGTGGGGGGGAATTAGCTAGACCACAATGCGTGCAAGAAAACTTTCTATAAGCCAAGAAAATTGCAAAAAGAGAGAGCCATAAGAGCCGGTCTTTTCCAGCAGCCAGCCTTCTATTTATGCCATTCCTCTTTGCGCTGCATCCGTAAATGAATGCATACACAGATCTAAGTACATGAATATTATTATAATTATATTAGGAAGCATGTGAAAGTATTCATGATCAATGTTTCAAGCCCTTGTTTATATGTGGGAAGTATATGATTTTATACTCAAGAGCCTTTGAATATTGAGAATTGACTTTTGTTAACTAATTTTTGGGGCGATTGAACGAGTTCAGATTTGTTGTACCCACAAATTTTAGAACCCTTCTTTTCACCCAGAGAGAGCGGAAATGCCGAAATATGTGAGACAAGACTTTGATAATGACATTAAAGCTGTCAGATCAGATCATGGATGGGACTGTGAGTTGATTACAAGTCAGTTAATCAGTCAATCAGTTGGTAAGTCAGTCAGTCAATCAGTTTATCAATCAAGCTGACAGCCAATCAATAAAACGTTTGTCAGTCAATTAGCTTACCAGTCATTCAGCTGGTCAATCAGTCAATCATTTAGTCAGTCAGTCAGCTAATTAATCAGTTAATCAATCAGCCAGTTCATCAAACATATGTTGGTTAGTCAGTCAGTCAATTAAACGTTTGTCAGTCAATCAGCTTACCAGTCAATCAGTTGGTCAATCAGTCAATTCATCAGACAAATGTTGGTTAGTCAGTCAGTCAATTAAACGTTTGTCAGTCAATCAGCTGGTCAATCAGTCAATCATTTAGTCAGTCAGTCAGTCAGCTAATTAATCAGTTGTTCAATCAGCCAGTTCATCAGTCAAGCAGCTTGTCAAACAGACATTCAATCATTTTGTCAGTCAATCGGTCAGTCAGCTGGTCAATCAGTTTGTTGTTTAGTTTGCCGTTCAATCAGTCAGTCATGCAATCAATCACTCAATCTGCCTAAACATGAATTGCATAACAGCTTAAATGTACTACAAATAATTGCATAACCCATCAATCTGCACGTGTAGAGAAATATAAGAAGGACTTGCACGCTTCGGATTACCTCTTCTGCAGTGTGTGACGTGGCACGCACGCTTCGAAACACTGGAGAGAGTCAAGCCCCCAAGCCCGACCACGTCTCCCATCCGGACCTCGTGTTAATATCATATCGAAGTATTGCCCATGCACAAATAGCTACAATCACTCATACCGCATCCACCACACATCATCCTTTTCGTATCAATGGCGAGAGGCGAGCACACGCTCACTCTCTCTCGCTCTCTCTCTCTCTCTCTTGCTGTTAGTCACATGCACACACACATATGCTTGGCTGTGTTTACATAGCAAAGCGTGCATGAAACGGGGCCTCGCTTTGCGCTGCCGCCGTTCGGGCAGCCCGACAAAGAAAAAGACAGAAAAAAAAAAAAACAACAACAACAACAACAAAAAAGCCAATGCTTATCGATGCCACTGCGTGCTTGTGTATGTATGCACACACATACAGACATTGTTTTGCTTTTTGCTTACATACGTATGCGTGTGGCTTATGAATGTGCACACATACATACATACATACATGCATACATACATATATGAATTGTAATTAACGTAAGGGAAAACACAAGTTCCGCCGTAGCTTATTTGGTATTCACAAAATACGGTAAAGTCCCAACACAGCTGACTAATTAGCAAATCGCTGAAAAATCACACACACACACACACATACAGAGAGAGAAACGCACACGAGCCTAATTTTAGACGCAGCTGCGAAAGTAAAGCTCTGCTTTAATAGAAGAACAAGCTTTTAGGCCGGGAGAGCGGCTGAGAGCGCGTTAGTTCGTTTTATGGCCCGGTTCTGGTAAGCGCGCAGCAGAATTTGTTTGAATTTTTTTTTTTTTTTTTTTTGCTTTTCAATGCTTTTTCGCTCTCTTCTTCTTCTTCTTCTTTTTTGGCTATGGAAAATGCACTCAAAGTGCGACCTTTTAGTGCTGCGCAGCTGACGCCTCCGTCGCTGTTTTTGCTTTTTACCGTACAATGGCCCAGCTAGCGTCGCAGCAGCAACAACTAAAACACACACACACACACACACACATACGAAGCGCTCTCGTGTCCGCTGTCCGCAATGTCGTCGGCAGCTGCTGTCTTGTCTGCTGCCGCTGCTGCTGCCGACCGAAGCGGGGCCTTTCTTGAGAGCGCAGAATAACGAAAACTTCTTGCATACACACACACACACACAGAGGGAATGAGATGGCCAGCGAGAGGGAGTGCGAGAGCGTGAGGGCGAGGGCCAACGAACGAGTGAGAGCGTAAGAAAGCGTGAGAGAGAAAGGGAGCGTACACAGAGCCAGGGCCTGTGAGCGTACCCGGCTACCATGCGACTGCATGCCATACTAAAGTCGTATTGCCAGGGGTCGCGTTGTTTTAGCCGGGTGGTGGAGGTGGAGGTGAAGGTGGTGGTGGTGCTGTTGGTGGTGGGGTTGGGGGTTGCTGTTGCTGCTCTTGCTGGCGGTGGTGGCGGGGCGAGGTTAGCATAGCATTGCCAAAAATAGAGACGCCCCCGCACACTGTGCGCTCTGCTGCCCCAAAATACACACACACACACCCACACCCACACACACACACACGCACACGGGCGGCAGGCCCGCTGGACTGTGGCATATTTGACCCACGCTGCAGCCAAGGCACAGCGCAGCAGAGCACAGAGCCAGAGCCAAAGCTAGCGTCAGACGCAGCCGTCGACGTCGCCGCCATCAGCTCTAGCTCTATATGTTTGAATCGTACATGGCTTAAGCTTCGCTTGCACTGTGGTCAGCATATGCATGAAACTGAACTGATTTTCCATAATCGAAACTTGTCCAAATATTTGTGCACACAGTTTTACACTTAACGAATTTGGTTGCACAGTTTTTCCAGTCGTCTTTTGTGGCTAACATAATGAGTTTTTCTCAAAATGTCATCTTTTGGAAAAGCGAAAACCTTTTTTTTGATTTCTTTAATTAAAAAATGTTACAAGCCCCGTTCACAGCAGCTAAATAGTTGTTGGCCCAAAAAATATGAGAAATATGTTAAAAACAAACCACATTGAAACGAAATAAAAATGTTTAAATAGATAAAAAACATTGAGTCACACAAATTGGTGTTTCTTCCATAATTTGCCCAGAAGTACATACATTAATTGATTTCTCCTAATGTTGCGCAGCTTAAATCGAATTGCACCACTGTAAGTATGCCGTTGTTGTACTAGCTGTAGCTAGCAGCGCCGCTTAGCTAGTCGGCAGAAGAAGTGCACAAGGGGGTTGCAAGGTGTGCGGTGGTGGACAGGCAGCGTTAGCAGCAGCAGCAGCAGCAGCAGCAGCAACAAAAACAACAGCAACATCAATTCGGCAAAATGTTCGTTGCATGTTCGTGCCTCTGCAGCCGCTGCTGCTGCTGCTGCTGCGGCTGCAGCGCCGGCAGTAGCGTCAGCTCTATGTATTTTGTATTTCTTTTTGCGCTATTGTATGCGTGCGTGTGTGTGTGTGTGTGTGTGTGTGTGTATTTCAGTGTATACACACAGAAAGCTGCTGCGCTGTCAGCGTCGACGTCGCTGCTATGTACACACACACACACATGCACAGAGGCAGACACGCACGCACACACACACACACACACACACACGCGCGCAGACAGTTTTCAGTTGACTTCGTTGAAATAATTTTCGTAACAACGATCACACTCGTTTGTGTATTGCGAAGACGGGAGGACGTCTCGACGCAGTCCGCAGAGCTAAAAGCAGCGTTTTTTTTTTAGCGTCGTTTGTCGCCGTCGTCGTTGTAGGCGTCGCGTCGGCGGTGTTTAATCAACAACAAACAAAAACACAAAATATATATATATATATACATAGATATATACAAATTATATGCATATACATTGTATATACAAATTAAATAAGCTATACGAAAATAATACAAAAAAAAAAAGGAAGAATAGCTATTATGCCGTTGTGTACACTTTTTTTTTCAAGTTTCAATATCAACTATATCATAATCAGAAATTGTAAGTGTATAATAAAATAGTGAAATGCATGCCTGCAAATATGTGCATAAAGTACATAAGTAAATGCAACTTATTTTATATATGTGTTAAAATGTTTGACAGTTGCTTGTGAAAAGAAATTTGCAAAGCAGAAAGCAAAAAAAAAAAAAAAACTCGCAGTCGCCGTCGCTGCCGGACGCTACAACAACAACAGCAGCAGCAGCAGCCAAACTCATACCATAAACAACAACAACAACAAAAAGTGCGCGCGAAAGAAACAGCAAGATATACAAACAACAACAGCAAAAGCAAAAGCAAAAAGAAAAAGAGTTGAAAAGCAAAAGGCAACAACAAAATAACATCAACAACAAAGCAGCAAGCAGCACGTTTTGCTGTGTGTGTGTGTGTGTGTGTATGGCCAACGGCCGCGCCAGCGTTGCCATATCTGTGTCAGCTGAGCGGCTGGCCCATGCCGGGCCAGAGACAGCGTGCCAAAGAGAGCGAGAGAGCGAAAGAGTGTGCATTGTGTGCGTGTGTCAATTTGCTGTCAATTTGATTTGTTGTTGTTGTTGTTTTTTTTTTATACAATTTTTTTTTTTATTTTTTGTATACCCCTTTCCCACGCCTGGTCATATGTTGTGTTATTTTTTGTTGTTGCTGTTGTTTGTGCCTATTTGAAACCAGTTATTAAAATTTGAATTTTGCCTAATTGCAGCACATGCAACATGAATTAAAGCGGCAAACATAAACAGCGTGAAGAGCATAAAAGCAAAAACGAAGAGTAAAGGCAAAACAACTAAAAAAACAAAAAAAAAAAACAAATAACAAAATAAAGCGCGTTAAAGAGCGTACGTGTGTGAGAGCAGCCGGAGCAGCAGCCGCAGCCGCAGCCATGTCCAGCAGCGATGATGTCCAGATCACCAGCGTGATTGATGCCAACGGGCAGCCGCTGCCGCTGCATGGCAACAGTTTGGGCGGTGCGCTCGGTCCGCCCGTCAAGCAGGAGGACGATGCCGAGATACGCGAATTGGCCGCCAAAATGAAGGAGCAGCAAAAACAGCAGGCCGCCCAACAGGCCAGCCGGCAGGCGGCCATGCAGCATGCAAATGGCGGTGTCGGTGGCGCCAATGCAGCAGCAGCAGCAGCAGCTGCAGCAGCTGCAGCTGGCGGCGGCGGTGGCAGCGTTGGTGCAATGCAGCCACCGTTAACCAATGGCAATGGCCAGACAAACATAATGAGCTATTTGTCGCGGCATCAGAAGCTGCCGAACGGTACAATGCAGGTGGTGCCCGCCTTGTCGGCCAATGGGCGTGCCAATGGCGCAATTGGCGGCGATAACGATAAGAAAACAACGGGCGGACCGTGCGATGAGGAATCGATAAAGGGACACTTTGGCTGGGCGCAATTTGGCAAAGTATCGATACCGTATATATACAGGCAATCGGAGAAATATTGTTCGGTGCGTATGATCGAACTGAAATTGCTTGGTAAATATTTAAATTACCTGCATCCGGATATCTATTCGAGCTGCACCTGTGTGCGCAGCTATTATATAACCGATGCCGAGGCGCGTCTCTTTATCGAGATCAATCACAAGCATTGCGATGTTGAATTCGGACGCGATATATTCACGCAAAAGGATCTGGTTGTCCGTCTCAGCGATGCATCGAAATTTTATCAATTTCTCGATATATGCTATCGCAAATTGATCGGCGGCAGCAAAACGCCGTCAGAGAAATGCGGCTTTATACGCATCAATAAGGAGTCTGTGGTACCGTATACGGTGCGCAACAATCAGCAGGTGGTGCCGCTTTTCTATTTTGAAGGCGAAACCGAAAATCTAAAAACAAAAGCCGAACTGTTAAACGGCTGGGATTTGGCCTATCTAAAGTTCTGCTGCAAAGTTCAAGGCATACGCAACGAGCTCTTCTCCAGCGAAAATGTTGCCGTCATTTCGCTGACAGACATCAAAAGCTATTTTCCCAATGGCACCGAATTCGAGGACTATTGGCCCAGCAAGGTGGTCGACTCCAATCTCTTGATCGGCAATCGTTCGAATGCCAACAATTCGGTTAACTGGACGCGTCAGCCATCGGCGCCGCCCCCCAAGATAACCACCAGCGTTAACAGCAACAGCAGCGCAGCCGCAGCACAAAAGTCCCAGCAGCAGCAGCAGCAGCAGCAGCAACAGCAACAACAACAGCAGCAGCAACAGCAGCAGCAGCAACAACAACAACAACAGCAGCAGCAACAGCATTCAACGGCTGCGGCGCAGCAGCAGCATTTGATGAAACAGCGAGCCGCAGTCGCGGCCGCTGCCGCTGCCAATGGTGTGGCAAATGGTGGGAATTTCTCATCAGCAGCGGCGGCAGCAGCAGCAGCTGCATTCAATACACATGCAGCGGCCATGCTACAGACGCCGGGCAATACGCGCATGCTGACGCAGGCGACCGTCCAGGCGCTGGCCACCGGTGGCTGGATGAATAGCCAGAATAATGTGCCCCAGCTACATGTTCAAATGTTGGTGAGTAATTTTATTATATTTGGTGTGCTTTGCAAGATATCGATAGGCCAATGCAATATCAGCACGGTTGCCTATCGTGATTGTTATCGATATCGTCGTCGTTCGCTCACTTAAAGCAACAACAACAACAACAACAACAACAACAGTAGTTGCGCTCTTCACCACGTTTGCCACTTTGCTAACAAAAAGAGAATTCACCAAATACATGCATACGTCACAATTGAAAAGTACATTTTCTTTCTATTAAATGCAAATGTACCTTTCTTTGGTACTTAGTACCAAAATTTGCATGATAAGTGGCAACCGCGCCCCCGCCTTCCCATTACATTATCAGCCTCTCTTTAACCTCCCACTCCGGCAACACTGGCGCACGAGAGCTAACGATGCTTGCCTGTGCAAAACTGCGATGCATGGATAATTTGATACCTTTGCGTGTGTGTGTGTGTGTGTGTGTGTGTGTGTGTGTGTGTGTGTGGCCTGATTTGTATACCTTATACTCTGTTCACACAGTGCAAGAGTGCTGTTTGGTTTTGAGCAATGTCCCCTGACTATTTCTGCGACAAAATAATAAAACTTTACGACCACGAAACAATTTTCAAATATCGAAAAATAACTTAAAGTCGTTTTCGACAGAATATGGCACAGTTGTTAGCACCCGGTGGCAAAGTTCTCATTGAACTGCCTGCACACGTAAAATCGAACAGCTTTGCTTAAGCAAGCATTCGCCGGCGCTGTGAACCAATCCACCCCTTGAACGTTCCAACGGTTCATAGGTTCAATACGTTCAGGCTTCTGCACGGCTCAACGGTTCCAACAGTTGTCTGTATTTGCATGTGTGGTCGCCGCTAAGCACGTAACTTAGTAAAGTTTTTCATGATAATGTCAGTTTAGTTATCATCGAAACTCTGTGACTAGGTCACATTATGTTTGATCTTAACAAGAGGTTGCATAATCGAAGCTTCTAGTTTTTAATGAATGCAAAGGGAAGTCAAATATTCGTTTTTGTTGCTTTACTGCAATAAAGTAGCACAAACTTGTGAATAATACTTTTGAAAGGGGTTAATTAGATGTACAAGGTCAGGCGAAAAGCGCGCAGAACGCAAAACGTCACGCGAAACGGTTCCAGTGAACCGTTCACACAACTCAACCGTTGATCGTGTAAGTGCAGCTCAATCTTAAACGAGCTGCAACGAAATATGTTTAAATTTACAAAGGTACGGCTTGTTCCTTTTTTTTTTTTTTTTTTTTTCGTTTTTATTTTTTGTGCGTGCCCGCAGATATCTGCCAATTAAGGAGCTAAATACTTTTGTAACTAATTAGTCTGAAGGTCAGCAGTTGCATTTGCCGCCCTCTGGTAACACTGTTTCTCTACCATTTCGCCAGAAATGACGCATGAGAGCAATGCATGTGGGCGTATGTATGTGTGCGTGTGCGTGTGCGTGTGCGCGGGCGTGTGTGTGTGCAAAAGAAAATCGCGCTAATCAGTGTCCTAAATATAACTCTTGATTTTAATGAGCTATGACACATACTTATTCCACGTGCCGATTGTAAGGATAAAAGAGCGTAAATCTGCTAATGGTACTGAAAAGGGCAAAGCTAATTAGCCAAGTCTTTGGCACATGCATAGTTCAGTTAATCCCTATGTTTCTCTATACAAATTTAGTTGAATACATTTTTATTTTATTTTTTTTTCTTTCATACAGTTTGGCAAGACAGCAGCAGCCCAGCAGCCGCAGCGGCAGCGGCAGCTTAGAAACTGGGTCATGCATACAAGCATACACGCACACATACATACATTGCGCTATGCTCTCTTTGTAGTTGTGTAGTTGTAGCAAACGTATGCATGTGTGTGTGTGTGTGTGTGTGTGTGTGTGTGTTTGTGCTTGGCAACCTGTTGAGGTTTATTTTATCTCGCACTCACTCTCGCACATCGCATTTATACAACACTTAATCTCACCATTCTCTTTTCTCTCTCTCTCTCTCTCTCTCTCGCTTTCTGTGTCATTCTGGCTGGCTGTAGGCGCAACAAACGCATGCGAATGCCAACCGCGGCACATACCGCGAACATCTAAACAACATGATGCTGGGTGGAAGCCGCCCGCAACCGTATTCCTATAACAATCCTGCGATTTCAATGTCCTCGGTGAACAGTCAGAGCGGCGGTGGCGGTAATGCGCCGCCGCCTCTGGTTCGTTCGGCGGCCGGACAGAATGCCAATCACATGTAAGTATTAACATATGCAATCGATATATCGATTGATATCATTTTTGTTGTTATCGATTTGTAACTGCGCCGTTTAAAAAAAAAAAAAAAAAAAAATACATACATACATACATTTAATGAAAGCAATTTGCAATTACAGTTACAATTACTTTTTGCTACTTACTTTGATTTTGCTTTTCTTTATGCATACATATGTGTATATATATTTATATATATCTATATGTATATATATGACCTACGTATATTTAATGATTATCAAAGTATAAAAAACAAAAGAAACTTTTTTTTTTTTTGCGCAGAAATTGTGTTTTTCAAATTTTGTTGTAATTCGTTTATTATGTGTACATGCATACATTACTTTTTCACTCTAAGTTAAGTTGGATATTTTTCTGCCATTAGGGTGCCACGTGAGACGAACTAAATTAAAAAAAAAAAAAAAAACATGTATAAAAGCAGCAGCAAGTTGTTGTTATTTATTTTATTTTTATTTTTTTTTTTTTATTTTCTTCTACTTTGCACCAATTGTTTTTTCATCTTAGTCGTAATGCAAAAAAAAAAAAAAAAAAAAGATAGAAGAAGAAAAATTGAAAGAGAAAACCGAAATCGGCGTTTGTGCACGCATTTTATTTAATTTTAATACAATTTTCGACTGTGTTTACCATTTTTTGATAAATATGTACGTTATGAAATTATGAAAAATAATCGTTACACGCATAACTTATTTGCTACCATTCGTTTTCCCTACCTCCCTTAAAAATAAAAAAAAAAAAAAACGTCACGCCACATTATTTTTCGTAATTTATTTCCGACACGCCAAAAAAAAAAAAAAAAAACAATTAATTGTAATCATTGAATACAAACAAAAATCTTTCCATGTTTTTCTTATTGTTGTTGTAGTCAAAAAAACGAAAAAAAAAAAAAAAAACGAAGCTTTTCCATTGCATTTGATATTTTGATATGTACAAATGATGAAAAGATCTACAAAAATCACTAACGAAGAGCGTTGCTCGTTGAGGGCCTCACAACATATTATGTTTTTCAAAATATCGACACCAAATCAAATTTAAAACAAATTAAACAAACTATTTTCCACGTAACTAACAAATCTTAAATTTCGAAAATAACCCACAAATAAACACAAATAACCCGAGTTGCCACTCAATTTCGTAAATTTGGCATGCATTAGGGTGTTCTGTGTCACAAATCGATGAAAAATAGGTTGTGTTTTTTTTTTATTCCCACCTACACACTTTATTTTTGGTTTGGGTTACAGTTGAAAACTAACGATGAACATAATAAGCCCAGGACTAAAAAAAAAAAAGAGAACTCACCATCTACACACACAGACACACACACACACACACACACACACACACACACATACACACATTCCATTTCGTAGTTATATTTGTAATAATTTTTGCTGTAGTTTTGCATGCCCTGAAATTTGTTAATTCTTTTTTTAAAAACAATTTCTATTTGTTATGCTTGGCTCAAAACAACTAATCGTTTCCTTTTAAGACCATTTTGTGTCATTCCGATTATTTGTTTTATTTATTTATTCTATTTTTTTTGTTTTTGTATTTTTGAAATATACCTTAATTTCAATGAGATATTTAGATAAAACGCTGATAGAAGAACTACAACATATTTTGAAAAACATGAATTCGCATTAAAAAAAAAAAAAATGAAAATGAAAATAGGCAATTAACAAATTTTGTATTTACTTTTGTTTAAAACAAAAAATAATATTGTTATTGCTATTCTTATCGATAAAAAAATATACATATATATATACATATATATATATATATATATATATGCATACATATATATTGAAATATATACAACCAAACATATATACATACATATAATTTATGGCTGTGTGTACTGACTACCCCTAACTAATTTTGTCGCACTTGAAATGATATCAAAATGAACAATCGTGACATCAGACTTAAACAAAAACGTCAACAATTTACAACAACAACAACAACAAAAACAAAATCACAATAAATAAATATAAATAATAAAAAAAAAAAAACAAACAAAAAAAAAAACAATGGAATTTTAACAAGAAATTCTGGTGACAGGTATCCTCCCACCCCCTATGGCAGAGACACCAACAATCCACAAAGAACTCAACCTCAACCCCGGCCTCAAGATATGAATCGAATTAACAAGAGCCGCAATCAAAATCAACTGCACAGAATCAGATACCTAAACTATCCCCATACACAGTGAGACAGAGAGAGCGAGAGAGAGAGAGAGAGAGTGAGTGTGTGAGAGATCAAGATAACATTATATATAATGCGTGTACAAGTTGATCAAATTTGGCAAAAACAAAATTTTCTCACAAGCAACAATGCAAAATGTATTTATACTATTTTTTTTTTTTTTTTTTTCTGTCTTTTTGATATTAAACCTTAAGAAAGTTCATGTTAAAAAAAACTAAAAAAAAAAAAAAAAAATACCAATAGAATTCTAATAATAATACAAAATACAAAAAGAATGTTAGCTGTGAAGTTGCAATAGGCAAGCAGTGTGACCAGCTGCTAACAGAAAAAAAAAATTGAGCTAAATATAGCTAACAAGAAAGAGGAAGCACAAGCACAGCTCAGCACAGATTGGCCGCTAACTAGCCAA